TTTGTACCACAAGGAGGTATTATCTTTTTAATACTGGCTAATAAGCCTGCATGCCCTTTGCTCTGGAGGGAGGCATTATCTCTCTCTTCTAAAGCCATTCGTTATACTAACATCGTTGGAGAGGGAGTCCAGAATGAAGGTAGTCAGTGCTTCTGCTCATGAGATGTACAGAAATATCAAAGATTCATGAAGAGTTGTCTCCAAACAGAGAGGTGGGGAGGAGAGGGTTGGGTTTACTTTGAATTCACTCTTGCTCTAAAGGTGTATTAGTTATCAATTGCTGCATAACCCAATCTGCCCTGTTAGCAGAAATGGACCAGGACAACTCATGCATGCCTACCCAAGGGTAACATAAACAGTAACATAAGTATTGGATGATTCTTTACCTGAAACAGCATTGACAGAAATGTTCTGGCTTCAAAGGGGGTGACAATCTGTGTTTTACAAACTACTCAAAGACTGAGTAGAAGTTATTGTAGTCCCTTCCCCTGGAAGGCTGTCGGAACAGCCTTTCAAACCTCCTTGCTAGATGGTTCCAAAAGAGGGATTCTCAAACTATTGTGACCAGCCATAACATTGTTTTGGAAAAAACCATAACCAAAAAACACAACTTCTCAGGGTGATTATTTTGAAGAGGGCCTTACTAATTAGAATCTAGTGTTCAGTGTGATTGTTAAACAGCAAATTCACTGGTTTATAATTCTCTCTCTTGTTCACTGAAAGTTAACTAGTGCTAAATTGTGAAGGAGATTTCAGGCAGAATGCAGACAAGGGATAAATTAAGAGGATGAAAGCTGTACCACTGCATTTCTCTACTCAGTGACACGCTCCCTTCCACAGGGCCTCTGTTGTCAATGTTTAACTCAAGGCTCAGGTTGAAGCAGAAGGATATAGAATTTGGAAAAACCCACCCTGGTCCCTACCATCTGTTTTTATTTGTCATTTCCATATTTGAAGTGCTCTCTGGGTCAGGCATCTCTTCCACCTCTCTCTGTTTCTGTTGAAAATCTCACCACCTGCCACCCTAACCTACTAGCCCATTTGGGACTTGAAGTGTTTAGGCCAAATGGACTGAACTGAGTTATATGTCAGTTCCACAAAAATGCCTGCTTTCTACCAATTCCATTGATTCTGTTGATATGAGACCAAACTCTATAGAGGCAAAGCAGATAAAACACAGAAGTAGTCAAGTGATTGAGCTGGGAGGAAAAAGAAAGTGACAGAGAGAGACAGAGACAGAGACACAGAGAGACTACAAAGGCAAGAAAATCCAAATTGCCTTTGGTAAGTGTAGTAAAACATTTCTGAATTCAGTACCTAACTTCGAATAAACCCAGCCACTGAGATGTGAACCTTCTTTTTCTTTTTTTTTTTTTTTTTCATTTTTATTTTTGAGAGCAAAGCATGTGTTTCCCCCTGCGTCAGCCAGTGGGACAAATGCTGAGTTCAAGGCAACCAAAGGACGTGAACTTGAACTAAAGTTTGAAAATATAGACTGTCCTAGATAGAATCTCAAGATTAGGAGACATTTTGATATAGAGCTGAACATAAGTCTTCACTCCTCCAAAGAACCAGTTACCCTTTGTTCTAGGAAGCAGAAACGAATACGCTATGTTTCCCAGAATGAAAAAAAAAATTTTAGCCACCAATTGAGCAAAAATCATAGTTTTCCCAAGACTTATTTTGGTTCTTTATCTTGGGTCAGGGAGGACATCAGACTTTGAGTTGGAAGGTACGTTTGTAAGGGTGAAGGTTCTCTAGGGATAGAACTTGTAGGCTTTACTTAGAGTTTTCTAGAAAATGCACAATGACCCTTGGTGGCTATGGTTAATTTGTGGTCCAGGGGTACTGTGAGGGGGTTGCATTTAAAAAGGCGACAGGGGCAATATAGGAAAGAGCCAGGCTACTGTCTCAGCACAGACTTTATAACAAGACAAAAGGGGCCTCTAATCACTTACTGTGCTCCAGATCTAGAATCTTCCAGGGTCTGGAATCTTCAGAATGAGGACTCAGAGAGTCTGATGGCCCAGAGGGCAGGACCCAGCCTCAGCTAGAAAGTCAGGCTGGGCCAGCTTCTAGCTCAGCTAAACTAGGAGCAGAATGGAACTTCAGAGAATGTCTGATCCACCTTTCTTATTTTACAACAAGGGAAAGTGGGAGCCCTGGAGAGGGAAGGTGTTTTACCCAAGGCTTTGTGGTTACTGTGTTAGTATGGTCCTCCAACAAGCAGACTCCTAAGTGGGATTTAAGGATTTTATTAGCAAAAACACCGTGAGTGTGGGAAAATGAGGAGGTACCAGGAGAAGACCACGATGCACGTCTGGTCCCTTCAGGCTTAGGAGAAGAGCAGCAGAGGCTCCCAGAGTTGCTGGGCCTGGGTGCTTCTCTAGCTTCCCTTTTTGAGTTTCTCTTCAACCCGAAAACACCTCTGCAACAGTCTCTTCATTAAACTTTCTTCCATTACCTCATTTGAGTGTGCTGTTTTCTGCCAAGACTTTGACAGTTACAAATACTTTTATCATCAGCCAACACTAGAGGGTTTATTAATTAGCACAGGGATTTTTAGAAATGATTTTTATATTGGTGAAATAAGTGGTATTTAAGGAATTAGAATTAATTGGCTAGAGGATAGTGTACAGGTACTTCTGTCCTTGCTTAGAGTATGAGAATCTAGGAAGTTCAACAGCCTGTTCCTTCTGGATCACTATTTTGGGCCTAATATCCACTAAACTGTTTGGCCTAGGAACCCTGACTATGACTGGATGGTTGAAACTTGCCAGTAGAATACTCCTGCATTTGCCTCAAGAGAATCTTTCATGCCAGATGCTCATGGAGTCCAAAGACAGATTTCTGGGACTTTGTCAAGTACCCAGGCAGGCTGGATGACTACTTTGTTTTGTTTTGTGCCTGCTTGCTTATAAACATTAGTAGGTGTGTCAGAATTTGGCTCGGGCTTCTGGATTGTGGGGTGAGAGACCTTTAGCCCTCCCCTAACTCAAACTATTAGAAGCTACCAACACCTGAAAAAACAACTTGATAATTGTGAACCATCAAACTGGTTTAAATCAGATCACAACAGAGAGAAGTATTCCCCCTCCTCCCTGCTAGGCAGGGAAGAGAATTGCCTTTCCAAACACTGCACACCCCCAAAGATCAAAGACCACAGTGGCACTGTCCTTCACATATCCTCTGTGGACTGATGCGGGAGGAGAAGGAAGAGTTTGGCCACACCTTAGTCAACGCCGGATTGGGTGCCTGGCCTCGTATGTTCAGAGGATGGGCTACACAGAAACTTTGTTTTCAACTATGAGCCCTCATTAGCAGTTGGGGCCACAAGTAGTATAATGTCTTGTTGCAATTTTTATTTATAAACACAAATTTCATTGCAAGAAACTTCCAGAGATATCAGATGCCTAACAACCTCTAATTGCAGGAGAGGAAACAGAGGCTGGAGAGGCTGAGCCACTCTTCCAAAGCCACTTTGTATTTGGTGGACACAGAGTAATTGGAGGCCAAAGTGCCCAGCATATCTGGCGTGCTGTGGGCTGCTGAGGTGCCTGTTCTCGGAAGCTTTGCAGAGTGAGTTTATGTATGGGACCTTGTGGAGGCACATTCATCAGTCACCAGGCATTCACTGAATAGTTATCATGTGCCCAGGACTACGCCATATGAGATAGGTGAAGAAGAGAAGACCCAGTCCCTTCCCTGCAGAGTTTACTGTCTGGTTTGGGAGCTACAACTAACACCTAACACAGGAAACAGCTAAAACCTAGCTCACTGGGGTGGGCGTAGCTCTAAGAACACAGAAAGGTAAGAACAAAGAAAGGTAATTCAGGTGGTAGTTAAAAGACCTGCTTCAGACTCAAACAGACCTGGCTCAAATCCTAGCCCTCCTCAGGCAAGTCATTTAACCTTTCTAAACCTCACTTTACCCATCATTTAAATGGGAATAACAACAGTACCTGTGTCATAGGATAGTGAGAGTTAAATAAGATCCTGCCTGCTAAAATGCTGAACACAGAGTTGGACAACATGGTAAAAGCTCTGTTGTGTAATTAACATCAATCAATTAATTTACTTAGTAATCAGAGAGGAGAGGGATGCCTTCAGCATACGCCTCGCTTGTTAGGAAGCGTCACAGTGCATATGGTACTCCAGAGGGGTCCGTGCGGGGGTGGGACAGCCCTGAAGAATGCTAATTAGATGACTGAGATGACCTGCCAAGTAAATATGATCTAGAAACAGGATTAGCCAAGGGTCAACCAATTATGGTGGGATTACTCGGCTGCTGATTTGTCAGGGGTGACTGAGCGCCACACAGTATTTGGGGAGCAATAATCACCTGCTTTCCCACACACTTCCTCAGCCACAGCCTTGCAATCTGCCCCAAAGGCAAGCATAGTGCTAAAAATGACTAAGAAATCCGTTTGCAGAATTGTCTTAGCAGAGCAACTGCCATGCTGCTATGCAGAAAAGGATTAATTGTTCTTAGGGTTTCTGTTTGCTGATCTCCTGACTAGATTCACAAACACCCCAAGGTCATGTTTAGCTTTAGATCAGTCTACAATAATATCATGAGACCAGAGTGCTCTCCTGTCCCAGAGTTCTTCATGAGTTAATTAAAAAGATGATCACCAGGCTACCGCACACAACTGGAACTAGAAAGAGAATGCCCCTCTGTCTAGCAAAGGGACAAACATTACCATATAAAGGAAAACAGAGCCAGAGTTCCAAGAGCCTGAAAAGGTAACTTGGGCCTAAAAGCCAATATGATTTAAATCTGAAAGATGTTATCAACTGGAGAACAAAGCCTACAATCTGGTATAGACACTGCAAGGAGCCCTGTGGTTTAATATTCAGGATATTAAACTTGGGCCATAATCTATTAATACCTAGAAAGAATGTACACCTTAGCACCTTCAAGGGTGACAAACCTGTGGCCTTTTAAGGCAACCTATGAAGTGACACTGTTTTAACAAAGGACATAAGAACAAATTTACCATGAAGAGAAATTCCATCATCCCTGGATTCGTGTGGAGAGGTCCATGACTGATCACCCACTTCTAAGGAAGGTTAGTTTCAGCTTCATCTAGTCTTCTGCATTCAAATTCACCCCGGGAATCCTAGTTTCTCAGTTACCTAAAAGAAGGTTAATATAAACTTTTTTAAAAATCAATGTAATAACCACTTCAGGCCGGGCACAGTGGCTCATGCCTGTAATCCTAGCACTCTGGGAGGCCGAGGCAGGCGGATAGCTCTAGCTCAGGAGTTTAGACCAGCCTGAGCAAGAGTGAGACCCCGTCTCTACTATAAATAGAAAGAAATTAGCCAAACAACTAAAAATAGAAAAAATTAGCCGGGCGCAGTGGCACGTGCCTGTAGTCTCAGCTACTCGGGAGGCTGAGGCAGGAGGATCGGTTGAGCCCAGGAGTTTGAGGTTGCTGTGAGCTAGGCTGACGCCACGGCACTCTAGCCCTGGGAACAGAGTGAGATTCTGTCTCAAAAAAAAACCACTTCACACTCACTAGAATGGTGACTATTTAAAAAAAAACAAAAAAAAAAAACAGCAAAAAAAGAAGTGTTGATTAAAATGTGGAGGAATTGGAAGCTTTGTGCTCTGTGGATGGAATTGTAAAATGGAAAACAGTATGCAGGTTCCTCAAAAAACTAAAAGTTAGAACTCATTATAATCCAGCAATCCTACTTTTTCGGGAAAGCAGGAAAGTGGATATTTGCACACCCATGCTCGCTGCGGCGTTATTCACAAGAGCCAAGATGTGGAAGCAGCCCAAATGTCCACTGACAGATGAACAGATAAAGAAAATGCAGTGTCTTCATACAATAGAATATTATTCAGACTTCAAAAGAAAGGAAAGCCTGTCCTTTGTGATAATCATGTGGATAAACCTTGAGGACATTATGCTAAGTGAAGTAAACCAGTCACAAAAAGACAAATATTGCATGATTCCATTTACATGAGTTCTCTAAAGGAGCTAAATGTATAGAAAGAGAAAGCTGAATGGTGGTTACCAGGGGCTGTGGGGCGCAGGGGAGGGAAGTAGGGGAGTTGTTCAATGGATGTAGAGTTTTAGATTTGCCAGATGAAAAAGTTCTGGCGATCTGTTTCATAACAATGTGAATATACTTAATGCTACTGAGCTGTCCAATTAAAAATGGTTAAGATGGTAAATTTCATGTTATGTGTTTTTTTTAACCACAAGAGAAACATCAATGTAATAAATACATCAAAAAGCTAAGATAAATTCACAGACGGAAGAATAGATAGATGGACAGACAGGTGATAAAGAAAGTACAGTGAAATGTTAATTGTATTCCTAGAATCTAGGTAGTGGGAACATGGGGTTTACTACAAACGTCATTCAACTTTTCTGTGTGTTTGAATATTTTCACAATAAAATGTTGGCAAAGAATGACAAAACTCAATGTAGTAATTAATATTTATACATATGCACCCTACATATGATACCTATACTATATATATGTAGCTAACATTTGTAATTATAATTCATTGTTCTTTAAAAGAATTAAAATTCTCTGTAAGAGTAAAATATTGAAAAAATAAAAGAAGGACTCTTCATTTCGTTGACTTGCTCAACATCTTTTCATCAGATAACATTTTTAGAAAATCAGTTGGCGTAGAACGGCTCCTTAATGATTAGCAACTGACCTCTGCTCGGCCCTCTGCAATGCCAGTCCTGCTCCCAGAGCTAACTGCATTGACTCCCCTCTGTTTTTTGTTTCTGGTGGTTATTCCCTCTCTTTAACTAAAATGTTTATATCACTGTTTCTTATTTCATCAACTCCAGACATCGTCTGTTGCTATCCTGCCCTGCCGTCCATACACCATCTCCACCATCGTCCACTCCACCCCTCTCCTCCTCTCCTTCCTCCCTGCTAAATATGCTACCCTGGGTTCTGCCAGGTAGCACCAGTTCTCTCTGCAACTTCCGATGCACACCTAGACCCCCATTTTTTTGTGCTGTCAATCATCCTTATTCTGTCTTGACTCTCTGTTTGTAATTGGGGATTTTGCTATTTCCATCCTCTGCACACATCTCTTCCCACTCACCTTCCACCCCTCAGACTGTTCTCCAGGCCTTCACTTTTATATGGTTACATTGATTTGAATGTGTCAAAGCAAAAAAACCAAAATCCCTATAGCGACTCCATGTAGAAAAATCTTGCTGCAACCCGGTGAGCAAGCACACTGCTAAGACTATACAGCAGGCCCCTTATAAACACCTGGGCAGTGGGGTACTGGTCATGTCTGCCAACACTCAGCTTAAAAAACAGGAACCTCACTGTGGTTTCTTTATCCCTGGGAGGCAGATAGCCAGTTCGTCATGATCCCAGGTGGAAACAAGGACAAGAGGCATTTCACATACTTCTTTCTTTGTTATAAAAAAAAAAAAAAAAAAAGGGCACCACATCTACTCTGCATCCTTTCAGAGGCTGAAAGGCCTATACAACTGCATTAAAAATGAAATTTAAGAAATAATGCAAGATAGAACCATAATGAACTATTAGAGGGAAATTGGGCATATTTAGGGCATGTCCTTGGCCTTGTCAGTCTGGCTGAGCTGTCCCCAAACTGTTCCTCTGTGTCTCTATCAGAAACATTGCAATGACCTGGATGGACCACAGGCCTGAGCCCTGCAGCCCATTCCTCCTGAAGCTGCGGCCTTTTATATCCGGCCATGCATCTGAGCCACACACAAGCTTGATGCCTTTCCTGAATTATATAACTGCAATCCAGGGATTCAGGGGTTTCATTTATCTTTGTGGTCTCCTTGCCCCCATTCCCATACCCTTACTGTCACTGTACTACAACTCAAGTCTACTGAAATGCAGGCCCGTACACACTACAGCCTTTCTCGAAGACGTCAAGCCCAACCACTGATCTGGTAGCTATTTTCTCAGAAGCTGGTTGTTCATGAAGTACCCTGATGTGCACTGGACAATCTCTGTGTCTGCTTCCCCCAGGACCCTGCAAACAGCCTTGTCCCAGGATTCTGCATAATGCTTTAGGAGGGTGACAGCCTCAATTCGCTCTCTGACATGGTAAATGAAGTAGAGGGTCCCTCCCATTTTTCTTATTACCCCACAGGAGAAAGCACAAGTTCAAAGCTATCCCAGGCCCTCCTTTAGAGAGCAACAGGGCCACCATTGCCTAACGGAGCTTGAACTGACCTCTGTTAATTCCAAGTCTTCAGTCCTCGGCAGAGTAATGGCACCACGATGGTGTCCACCTTCTAGTCCCCAGAACCTATGAATATGTTACCTTACATGGCAAAAGCAACTTTACAAATATGATTAATTTTAAGGGCCTTCAGATGGGGAGGTTATCCTAGATTATCCAGGTAACCCAGGCTAATCCCATGAATCCTAAACATGGGAGAAAACTTTCCCAGTTACGGAGAGAGGGGGACATGACGATGGTTATGACATTGATGCAGTGTGAGGAGGACTGGACCTGCCATCACTGGCTTTGATGATGGCCATGTGCTGAGGAGTGTGAGTGGCTTTCAGAAGCTGGAAAAGACAAGGAAGCAGTTTCTCTCCTACTGCTCCAGAAGGGAGCCCAATCCTGCCAACGCTTTGATTTTAGCCCAGTAGGACCCATTGTAGATGCCTGACTACAGAGCATAAATAATAACAGTGTGTTGTTTTTAGACACTAAGTTTGTCGTAAGTTGTTAAAACAGTATTAGACAACTAATACACACCCTAGTCCAGATTAGCAAGCCCTCAAAAGATATAAAAGCAACCAGGTCCTCATATCTACTAGACACTTGAGAATTGTTTATATATCATGTATGGAGAAATCTCAGCTACCTGGGACTCCTACAAAATATGTCATGGTGATACCTGAGGTTTTATATAGCTAAGGATTTATCTGTTTAAGACCCAAAACATTTTAAACATTTTGTTAGATGAACATTTTTAACCTTTAGGAAGATTAAATCCTTTCTAAATCAGATAGATATAATATGTATGTTATATCTCCATATATATATATGTATCTCCATATATATCATATATACTTCTATATATATCTCCATATATATGGATTATGTATATTCATATATATATATATATATTCCTTTCTGCTTAAACAGAATATATTAAACTTTATTTAACATTTCTGTGCTAGGTGGGAGAACTTTTTATTTTGGGCATTAATTATTTTCCAATACTACAGCATTGCTTTTAAGGATCACTGACTACCAGAAAACTACCATATGTTGCAGATTTTCTGGAAAGTTCCCAATTTTAAATATTCTCTCCCACTTTCCTTATTCTTGTCAGCCACCTTTCCTGATTTTTCAGTAGGCACCATGGTCCCTATAGCTGTAAGTGTACCTGTCCTCACAATAAATGGCCTCAAACTACCATCTAACAGGAAACCCTAAGCATGTGTTTACTTTGAATACATTTAAAAGAAATAAAAATACTTTGCAGCTTCCTGTTTCTTGCTTTGTAAGCCTAATAAATAATTTTCTGCACACATTTTTTAGTTAGTAAACTCCTGGGCTACTGGCATGGCAATAGTAGGTGCCTGAGAAGTCAATTGACCCTGGTGTCGAGCAGATTTGTAGTAGCGGGGCCACGACAATAACTTGGAATCCCTTAGTTTCTGTTCTTTGACCCGGGGGACCTACTACCCAGCTTTCAACTTAAGTAGGACACCCTGCATCTCTCTCAAGGAACCCTTTAAACCAGGCTGCAGACACCAATCAAACAAGCTAGCACGATTATGATCGCCCTCCTCAAAATCATGCTTCCTTTCTAAGCCTGGTCTCAGAAGATCTAAACCAATGTAGGCCTCCAAACTCCAACCACAGCCATCTTCAAAAGGAGTGTGAGAAGTTCCACTTCTTAGCGGTCCGGTTGCAGCTGCTGAGGCCACCACCTGCTCAGATGACTGAAATAGGAGGCTCCTTTCCAGGGGGTGAGGTGGCTGGAACCAGTTTCATAGAAGCTTATTGGCTTCAAGATTTACTTGATTAACTGAGACACCCCTGTCCTGTGGTTGCTAATCGCACTTAATGCAAAGAGGTGTCAACAGGCCTGTGGATACAGAGCTGGTCTCTTCTGAGGTTACCTAGCTCGGTCTAGAGAGGGAGGGGTGAACGTGTGTGCGTGTGCACGTGCATATTTCTGTGTACATGTGAGCACGTGACTGTGTGAGCTGTGTGTGATTGTGTATGTGAGACTGTGCATGCTTGTGGATGATTGTGTGTGTGTGCATGCATGTGTGTGCATGTTTCTACATGTTGTGTGAATGTGAACTTGTGTGGGATAGTGTATGTGCATGCGTGCATGTGTGTGCTCGTGCACACAACTGAAGGAGAAACAGAAAGGGGGGAGATGGAAGCGCAGAAGGAAAAGAAAGCCAACAGGAAAAGGCAGAGATATAGACACATGGAGGGACAGGTACAGAGAGACTGAGCGAATGGAAGAAGCAAGGAGAGGGGAAACAAGCGACAGAGGGCAAAGGCAGAGGGCAGAGAGTCACAGATAGAGCACAAGACACAGTGAGGGAGGGACCCAGAGGTCCAAGGCCTCCACTGTTTCTGACGTTAAATGCTCCAATAGGGCAGGCTGGTGGCCTCGGAAGCTTCTGAGGGGAGTGATGTCATCTCCTTGCCAGTTTTCTATCTTGCAGTCACAGGGTCTGCTGTCTTTGTGCCCTGGTGCCCTGGCTCCAACCCCCATGGCCCTGGGAGATGGTGTAGTCCAGTCATATCTAAAACTTCTTTGTCAAGCCTGTGGTTTTATTTTTTTCTAAGAACTTAGCAACATCAAACAAAGGAAGTCACGCTTGTTCTCTGCCTCAGTAAGGTAAACAGTCACTGCCCCAGCCCAGGCGCCTCCCTCCCAGGACACACACGGGTGGGGACAGGGGCTTGCAGGAGCCTTGGGTTTACAGGGTTCAAGGGGCAGGGCCTGAGACCGAGAACTGGGACTCAGTGCTGAGCAGCGGGCAGGGAGAGGCCTGGACCTGTGGAACGGCTCTGGCTCTAGGAGGACCCTTCTCAAGCCCGTGGGCCAGGAGGCCAACTGCCGCAGGTGACAGGAAGCACTCAGGCCCCAGGCCCCACTCCCCACAGACCTGCCGCACGACTTGGAAACACAGCTCCCTTTGCAGGTCCGGGGCTCTTCATGTGCACAAGAAGAGGCTGTACTGGCTCTGCGGTTTCCAAAGTGCTCTGGGGATTCCAGGGGTGTCCATGGAGCCCCTCAGGCCTGGTGGACAGAGGCAGGGAGGGGTGAGCAGGAGTCAGGTCTACGCTCTGCACCCACCTGTGCACCTCACATTTCAGACCATAAGCCAAGGCAGGTGTGAAGACACCCAATTCGCATGAGCTCCACCTCCCTGCCAGTCCTGGCATTTTATGACCCACCTTTCTATAACAGGTGGGGAGTCAGGCTAAGGCTATTGGGACCCTGGGACAGAGTTGACAATGAACTTCAGTAGAGGAAGAGGCCCCTCTTTTCATGGGATTAGGGGACCTAGACTCTGACTGGCTGGCCCCAGCGATGGAAATTCACCTGTAGAGGCTGCCTCCTTGGGACCGAGGCCCATCTGCACACAGCTGCAGGAAGTTGAAGGGCATGCCCCACCCTGAAGGGCATGGCCTTGTCACCCTGGAATTTCTGGGCTAAGCAAATCATTAGTTGACATAGTACTCAGCCATAAAAAAACAGAGAAACTACTTCCTTGAAGTCGGTGCTACCTAGAAGATTACAAATCCCACGAAAAACCAAGGGGAAACCCAGATGAGATGGCTCATGGGGTCAGAAGGTCATGTTCAAGCTCCACAGGATGGCAGTGGCCGTACCTTCCCCACAGCGGGCTCTGTTTGGTGTGCCAAGGCCTCCCAGCTGGTCCAGTGTGGTTCTGTCCTTTCACGCCTCACTGTGAGCTACCCACTTTGTCAACAAGTGACTCCTGAGCTGCCCCACTGATGTCACAGCAGACTGGTCAGCGCGTGTTCTGGAAGGATCAGAAAGCAGGTAACCAACAGGAAAACCAAACATCCTTAGCTGAGTTCTCTTTGAGCTTTTCTCCTGTGGGGAGGGTGGGGAAGGGCGGGCACCTACCTGTCTGTGTGCTCAGGGGCTGGGGGAAGGCACCCACCGCCAGACTGAAAAATGACCAACTGCTCAAAAGCCAGGTGGACCAATCTGCCGAGTCAGCGAAATCGCATCCTGTTCCACGCGGAGGGTACAGCAAACACAGATGCGCACGGCGGAGTAGCAATTACATCTCAGAAGAAGATGCTCAATGTTTAAATGCCTGCCTGGTGCCGATTCTTATCAGAGGGCTTTTGTGGTGTTGAGTTTTACAGGCAGTAAACTTGTGTACTGCGTTATTTTTCTCTAACTCTCACCAAGTGCTGTGTCCTTATTTTACCACGTAGCAGGTAATATCTGCATCGCCCTTATGTAAATCATTAGCTACCTCAAACCTCAACCTCAGTTCTCCCACTGGAAAGTTCTTTGCTGGCGTTGTCTCTTAGCCAGGGAAAATGCTTCCTAATTGGACCGTAGTTTATTTCTGTTTCTAGGAGCAACCACTTCAGATTTCTAGCGTGTGGGTGGTTTGCATACATGAGTCATGCAGACATTACGTTCTTCCAAAAGAACCAGCCAGATCCTTTTACCAGGCAGGGGGACCTCGTTCCAAGCTGCTGTGGCCTGGGAGGTTAGCCCCACTGCTGCAGCCAGAGGCGACCAGTGAGGAGGCACGGAGGCCAGCCTCGGTGCCTCAAAGGACAGGGTGATTAGCCTGCGGAAATGCGCCTCAGGTCACAGCTCAGCTTCACCTGAGACCCATCCTTGACCCCTCCTTCCCTCACTGGCCTGGAGGGTCCCCCTGAAGGGCGCTCCTGGATAAACCACATGCCCCCTGTCTCTGTCTCAGGCTCTGCCGGAACCTGAACTAGGACAGGAAGCAGGTTCCTACATCAACGGTCCTAAGAGCCTGGCAGTCCAGGGTCCTTTGCCCTGTGTCATAGACGCCTCCCCTAAGCCTGTCTGGTTTCTCTAGCTCCCTTCAGAGCTCTGCGTGGGTGGCAGGTCACGGAAGCTCCACTCTGGCATAGAGTAGGTCGCATCCCTGTAAAGTGCTCTGCCAGCTGACCACAATTTTGTTGGAGGAATTCTTCCTAGGATGGCCCACGAGGCAAAGTGCTGCAGACCTGAAGGCCACAGCTCAAGGTGACGGATGGAGATAAACCCACCGCTCTGTGCACGCATCTGAAGGGCAGCTCCGGACGGGCTCTCCTTTACCACACGATGGCTGTCATCTAAAATTCCACTTTTAGAGATTCAGTCCTTTATGTTGAAACACAATGTGACTTATTACGCTGTCAGCTGTTAGCAGTTTCATGTGAATTAGTTTGTCCCAGAGTCCAATGTGACAGCTGGTCCGGGCAGCACTGGGTGGGGGCAGGGAGGAGAGGGAGGGCCAGAATAGAAGCTTGGGTGAGGGCACCGGCGCCATGGGCTGGAGTGACAGGAAGGGCCACAGCCAAGGTCTGGCTTCTTCCTGGGTTTGCTGGTGATGGTGGTGGGGGTGACAATAATCCATTTTAAACTTCTCCTTCCCTATTTCCGAGTCACACACAGTGAGGGACACATAGTAGGACTTAAAAATGCTTGCTCCTCAATACAAAGGCAATACTGAGTGATTCCACGTACATGAGGTGTGTAGAGTAGGCGAACTCACAGAAACAGAAGGCAGAATGGTGGTTGCCAGGGGCTGGGGAGAGGGAAAAGGGGAGCTGGTGTTTCATGGGTATGGAAAGTTCTGGAGGTCTGTTTTACAACATCATGGATATACTTAACACTACTGAGCTATACACTTAAAATGTACATTTTACTACAATTAAATTTTTTTTTAAAAAAATGCATGCTTTTAAAAGACAATTTTGGCTTTTCATATAGTAGATCCTCAGGAACTGTTTGTTGAGTTATTTGCAGAACATTTTTTTTTTTGCAATCTTCCAAACCTAAGAGAAAAGCTCAAAAAAGAACACAAAGGAAGCAAAAAGGGCCTGAAGACCCTCAGCAACCCTGTCCCCAGTTCTCCCATATTCCAACTCCTCCCATATTGGCTGTTCCCAAATCTGTCTCCTCCTCCCTCCAAACCCGACCCACCATGGCCCTGCCACGCTCCGGGTCTCTCTGGTGCCTCCCTCTTTTCAGGTTTCCCTTCCGCCTTCTCCAGTGTCAACTCCCGCCCTGTCCAAAGCTCGTCCTCTTGCAATGCCATAGCTCAGGAAGGGAGCTGTGGGGCTTCTACAGTTTGAATGTTTGTGTGCCTTCCCAAATTCAGGTTGAAACGTAACTTCCAATCCAACAGTATTAATGTCACCAAAAACTCAGCACTTTGTCCCCCAGGACGAGGAGAGTGGTTTGAGGAGAAGGAAAGAGAGATTTATTAATTTCCTGGCAAATGAGGAAAATGGCAGACTCCCATCTTAAAGTACCGATTCCTCATCATAAGCAGGAATACAGAGCTTTTAAAGGGAGGGTTTTCAGTTCTAGGCTACTGTTGTTCAACTACAATTGGTGATCATGACTGTCCCATCTCTGCCGTGGCATCTCCCCTGAAGACAATCCTGTGACCTCTGCTCAGGGACTCTGCCAGGAGCAGTTCCTTTGAGCCACCTTCTGTAGCACAAAGAACAAAGGACACTCCCTTTCCCCTCCCAGCCACTGGCCTGAGACAGGAATGCAGGTTTTAGTTCCCAAAAAGAGTGAGTGAGGTTTTTAAAGAGACAGAAAACATTTCTGCCATTTTTTTTTTCCAGGCCATTCCCTCTGTTACATATTTCCCACTGTCAATTTTACCCTTCCATATCTATGGCAGGAGGGGCGACTACTCTGCTTCACAGGGCCCATGCTGGCTCTTGTCCAAATAACAGCTTGGAGGGGCCAGGAAGGGCCAGCAGTAGGGACTAGAGGGGTAAGCTGGAGGGTAGGTACCCCAGGTTGATGAAGGCCATTGGCAATAGAGATGTATCTGCCCCACCAAGTGAGGTCCTCTTTCACAAGAGAGAGGGCCCGTGAGAGCATCAGCTTCAACAGTCTACCAGGCCCAGGGACAGGCCCAGCTCAGGATCCCCATTGTAATAGGAACTGTCTTCTCTTCTCTCTCTAGCCCTCTTCCATCCTCCTCCTGGGAGGTGATCGGGGAGAGAGTAGAGATCAGATGAACCTACCCAGGCTTCCCACCCAAAAATGGTTCCACACTGGGGAGGGCGGAAGGACATTCTATTTACTGATTTGAGACCATGTTTGGGCCTCAAGAGAATGTAGAAAGGCCTGAGCGACCCAGTGGCAGGTGACGATCACCCTCACTGGACAAAATTTGAAGACATAAAGAGAGGAAAAGTCAAAGTTGTGTTTTGATCATAATGCAAATGTCACACTGGTTTACATAGGTTTTCATATAGATTAATTTCAGCATAATTATTCTAACTCTGCTCCACTGTGCTCTGTGTAAACTGCTTCAGGGAAACAGGATCAGCTTACTTAGTAGGTAGCAAATATCCTGGCAACGGCACAGGGTCCAGCATCGACTTTCCCGCTCCCCAAATTGGGCAATTGGGCCATATCAGTCTTCATTTAGATGAGCAGGACAAGCTTCTATAATTAACATATTGTTGTCAACTTGGAATGTCCACCCAGCTAAAACACGCAATGTGTAATTTATTGTGACTATTTTTCATTGAATGGGATAGGGAAAAAAAAATAAAATTGGCCATAAACTCAGAGAGATGGCACATGGTGAAACTTCACGGAAACTACAACATTAGCAGTAGGAGAAAGGCCATCTCCCAACAGAATGCACAGGAGAGAAATTTTACTTCCTGTGAAGCTCCACCAAATGCCATGAGTGTGGGAAACTCTGGTGTGAGAGTCAGATGTACCAGGATTGGTGCTTCCAGTTCTTACGGGGGCGAGAGAAATGACAGAATGAAGGCTGTGGGATCTTCAGGGCTGAAAAGGGCTACCCCAGCTCTAGGCACTCAGCAAAGTGCTGTTTGTGGTCCATGCCCACGACTTTCCAGATGGCTCAGAGGGAAGACCCTGGGGGGTTTGATGCTCCAAGGCCTTCAAGGCCAGGCCAACTCAATCCCAGAAGGTCTTAAACCAGCTTGGTCTTCTTTAACAAAATGCCATAGACTTGGTGGTTTAAACAACAGACATTTCTTTCTCACAGTTCTGGAGGCTGGGAAGTCCAAGATCGAGGTTCTGGCAGATTATGTTCCTGGTGAGGGCTCTCTTTCTGGCTTGCAGACAGCCTCCTTCTCGCTATATTATCATGGCAGAGAGAGGAAGTTCTGATCTCTCTTCCTCATGTAAGGACACTAATCCTATCATGGGGGCTCCACCCTCATGACCTCATCTAAGCCTAATCACCTCCCAAAGGTTCTACCTCCTAATACCACACTGGGGGTTAGGGATTCCTCATGTGAATTCCAGGGTAATACACACGGTTAACTATCCTGGGTACAGATACTAGACCCTCTGTTGAATGCTGTCTGTCCTTCACCTTCACCAACACCTGGTTAAGAATATGGGTGGTTAAGACTAAGCTGTTTCCTTTCCCACATGCCAACCTTTCAGCAGACAAAGTGAGGGAAGAAAAAATCCTCAGTGACACGATCGAGGGCCTTCAATTACTATTTTATTATTCAATCATTATTTGTTGGGGTATGTGTGTCTTGTTCCAAAAAGGATTTAAGGTGGCTTGCAAGATAAAAATCTTAGCAGTCTGAGAGAGAGATGAGGTAACAGGACAAGGGTAGGGACAAAATATAGGGCCAAGCCTTAAAATAGAAAGCAAATTAAATCTATTTTTCTTAAGCAGGGAACAGTGCCATGTTTTCTGGGAAGCCAATGGCATTCTGTTCCATTTCTCTTTTAAATTAAAAGTTAAGTAGTGTTAGTCTCAATTTAGGGGCCTGCATTTCGATGAGTTTGTTTTGTTTGTTTTTTGTTTGGTTCCTGACCTAAAATCTCCATTTCAATAAGAAAAGCAGGCTCTGTCACAGGCAGTTGACAGTTTTCTTGTAACTGCCTTCCTCTCGGGATCTTTCGGTGGGGAACTTGGCAATGCTTAGGGGTAGCAGAGGAAGTCAAAGGTTAAGAAAGAATTGGACAGCCTGTACAATACAAGAACTCCCCATTTTAAAAAAGAAAATTCTGGGAGGAACATTCATTTACCTCTCGCATTTAGATGGCTCAGGATTTAATTATTTTGTAGAAGGGAGTAAGACTAGGTAGGCACCCTCCACTAGAACTAAAAGCTCCATAAATAAAACAGAATTATCTGGATAATTGACTTGACTTTTTGCTTTGGCTGTGTAGGCATAGTGAAACAGAGCAGTGTTTATTCAATTCCGTGATATTTTTATTTGGCGAAACAAAGGCTATCTTTTATTTCAACCCCAAGCCTTGTTTTGGCAGGATTCTCTTCATTTAAATGCTCTGTATTAATAAGCAACACCTGTACAGTCTCACGAAGCACAGTCATTTTTAGCCTCCAGAGTTAAACAAAACAAAACAAAACCCGGGGAAGTTGGGAGAGAAGCGCTACACAAGTGTCATATTTATACTGTAGTGATTTCTCATTATCTGCAGGATCAAGTCTAATTTCTTAGCCAAGGATGAAAGAATCTGTTGCATTCTGACTCCTCTAACTTGGCAACTCACTTTTCCTCCAAAACTTCCCTGCAGGGACCATTGGCTCCGTGTAAAAATGTGACGGTGTCTTCTTAGCACGTGGTCCAGGAGGGCCTTTGGCCAGCAGGGCCCGAGTGTGACGACTGCCTCTCTGCACCCTCGAGAGCAGCCCTCAAGCAAGGGCTGGCGGCAGCTGATGAGTAAGCACCTGCCCGGCGTCCGCCCCCTGCTGCCTCGCAGGTGGAATCCCTTGGGATGGTGGTGTCATGGGCTACACTGAGTCCTCCCAAAGTTCATATGGATAATCCCTGACCCCCAGCACCTCGGAATGTGACTGTATTTGGAGACAGGGCCTTTACAGAGGTGCTTACGGCAGTGAGGGGGGCCCTAACCCAATCTGACTGGCGCCCTTTATAAAAAGAGGAAATGTGGACACGCGGAGGGACGCAGGGATGCACGTCTGCACACAGAGGAAAGGCCACCAACCGGTAAGCCATGGAGAGACGCCTCGGGAGAAACCAAACTGGCACACCTTAATCTTGGACTTCCAGCCTCCAGACCGTGAGAAAATAGATTTCTTAGATTTCTGTTGCTTGACACCCCACCCCCTGTCTGCGGTACGTTGTCACGGCAGCCCCAGCAGACCGACGCAGGTGTCCCCCGTAAAGACTTCCTTTCCACTGCGGCTCATTGTGGCCTCTCTTCCTCTCAACGCATCACAGTTATTTCCCGTGGCATTCATTTGAAAACTAAACCTCCAAGTCTCTGTTCGATGGTGCACTGAATCTTTACTGAGCACCGCTGCGTGCTGGGTCCCGTTCGAAAGCAAGGAGGTCGCGGACCCTCCTGTGCAGCTACGAAATCGCCACGGAGCTGCCACGGCCTTCCACGCTGCCAGGCTTAGAAAAGCGCAATGTGTTTTCTTTTGAAAAGTCACTGTTTTTCTGAACATTCAAGGAATTAGCATTATCAAAGAATTTGAAAAGTATATAGAAAAGCATGACTACAAATATAGAAATCACTCATAAAGGTCATTACCAGGGGAGAACTGCTGTTAAGATTTTGAAGAATTTTCTTCAAAACCTGATTTACAATAATATTTATCACGAGTATTTTTCCATGTTGTGAAGCAGCTTTTTAATATTATTGTTAATGCTATAATAACATTCTATTGTATATATTTACTTTACAGTGCTCATGTCTCCCAAGTCAT